GTTCTGTTAATAAATTGCAGTCTTGACTGTGGTCATTGGAGTGCAAGAGATTGTTGTTTACTCCCTCTCTCTGCCATCATATGCAAATTACTTAATAGCACAAATAAATGTTATATGAACTTTAAGGTTTTCTTTTAAGCAGCAGAAGCAATGAAACAAAGGAAAAAAAAAAGGCAGTAGTGAAAGGCCTTCATTTGTGGCTGTAGTCCTGTTAAGATACTGTTTGATTACCCTCATGTTTAGATTGAGTGTAACATGCAGATTCTGTTCACAGCCTTTTACAATTAACTGATACTTTATAATCATTAGGTTAGGCTAAGAAATCAGTTTTGTTCAAGAGAAAGTATATTCTGATCCTTCTTACACAACTAAAACTAGATGGCTGATACTGTTACCCTACAACCATAACACTCAGGGCTCTGATGAAAGTTGCCACCCACCCATCCACAGGGCGATGACATTGGATGTGCTCATGTATAAACTTATAAACCGTAGCAATCTACATATTAACCAACCAGATGCTGACACCAGTAGCAGACAGCAGTCCGATTTTAATCCCCAGTCACAAATGCTTCAGAGACGGGAGTGTGATGGTAGGTTTATACACAGTGCCAGGAAACTGCCTGGTGTGTGCTGAACTAAACCTGTCTGACTATGCTGTAGCATAACAATAAGTCTGATGTAGTGTGTCCTGCTTCTCAGCACTCTAGAAGAGAAGGTAGGCATGTTGGCTTGGCAGAGTGCACATCCATCAGGATGTTCCTCACCTTGGAATATCTGACATTCTGATCCACAGCAGTTCTTAACCCAGAGACAGATTGGATTCAGTAGCAACCACATGTTTGTATGACTTGGTACATTGACCTTGACCAAACAGGTCTTCATTAGTTGTTTCTTACAAGCTTGTGAAAGCAGTAAGACAATAAAGTCTTAGGCTCAGAACCCTTGCTTTTTACTACTGGTACGTGCTCAGTGGGATGTTATAAAGATAGAAAACTTCTCAGGAAGCTTTTTGAACATGTGGGCTGTACATCTTGTCTGGCTGCAAAAAAATACCCTGACATGTTGCTTCCCCACCCTGGGGGTATTCTGCTGGTTAGGTATATTTTCACCAGTGGCCAACAAACAGAATTGGCATCTGTCAAGTTTATTTAGCTGGTATGGGTTTGTTTTTTCTCTCTTGTTTCTCTCTTCTGTGTTAAACTCCAAGAAGAAAACTAATATTGGCATTGAGGCCATTCCAAAACTTATATAGTATTTCAGTCCTACTCAATTTGATTGCTTATGTAAGACTGATGTTTAGTATGGGACTGGTTTATTAGGAGAATATAAATGTATTTTTAATTATCAAAGATCTTTGTCATCCCATACGGATATATCCCAAGACATTTTTCTTTCTTTCATGGCTGTTTGTGTGTTCTACAACTTGAACTTGTTTCCGTCTTAGCAAAATGAGAAAGAATCAAAAGTTTCTTGATCTAAATCTTTTATTCATACTGGACTGAGAAGGTACTGAATTTGTTATATGACAGTCAGTACCTGGCAGATGTAACATCTCTTTCTAATGCCCTTTATGCCATGTTTCTTAGTGTAAAAAATAGTATAATGAAAGGAAACAAAATCTGGGACTTTGGTTTCCCTTCTTTTCTTGTTAAAGAAGGTGGAAAGCTGAATTACAATTAAATTGTAATTGTAACCTCTTAATTACATCCTGTAGCTAAAGAGAATATAGGGAGAATTTAAAGAAACTTTTAAAAAGAGTCTAACATAGTATTATCTATTCCTATATAAAATAATTATTTTTTAATACTGTTTAAATAATTTATCTGTATTTAAAACTAACTGTTTAAAATTTTAGATTTGCAACTTTTTTTAGCATTAACACTTAAATAAAAATTTTTAAATATTAAAAAGTTTTTTAAATATTCAATACAATTCAATATTAAAAAAAACAACAACACAGAAATAGTAATATACATTGTTCACACATAGTATTGTACATGACAGCTGAGCTCCAGAGTGAGCTTTTGAATTTGTCAGACGAGTCATAGCTTAATTGTGGTGAACCACTTGCTTATCCTCTCTCTGCACTCTAAAGATTATAACAGATCCTTACCATCAATATGTTGTCTTTAATTATTACATACACATACTGTACACAGTGTTTTAATTTCCATCTCTATGCCCAGAATTGTAAATAAATGTTTTTTTCCTAGCATTTAGATCAAAATACTCTTTAGCACATACACAAATATATTTAAGACACACACATTTGACAAGAAACATACCAATTTTGCTCAGCTCAGTTATAGGAAAAATTAACTCATAGATGCAAAACAACGTAACTGAGAAGTTGTCACTGTTGTATTTAAAATTTATAATAATCTTATCACCAAATGTTTACAGGTCATGTTAACAGTAGGCCGGTAAGGATTCTCCTGTCCCTTGGTGTATTTTCATTAATCTGCCAACCATAAAGGCAGCAGTGTAGGCATGGCACTGGTGTCTAACAGCTACTTTGTCTAATACCTGGTATTCACTGACAGTATTGCAAACTCACTGTTACAGACTTTGGCGGGACTTCATTAACAGTCTCCAGGTTTTTTTAAGCATAAGCATGTCTGTCGTTGATAATTAAGTTTACTGACAAATTGCAAATTGTTTTATCTGTCCTTCTGTAAAAACCTTCTGTATTTAGCAAGATGATTTCTATAGATGCTGTAAATAGATTCTAGTGGAAAGAGGAGTACTCTCATGCCTCCTATGTTATGCATGTCATGGTATTGTGATTGCAGTAGTTGTGTCCTATCGTACAAGGTAGCCCCCAGATGTCTTTATTTCCCCTTGAAAAATTCTTTTCCAAGAGGACCCCGAAACTTTACAAAGACTAAATGTAACATTTTGTGTAGCTACTTAGGGATTCCTGCAGAAGGAAAAAATACCAATGTAAATCAACATTTGCACCAGGAAGCCTAGCCTAGAAACATTACTTAGAACATAAGCACATGCCACATGATATGTGTAGTTATTCACAGGTGAGCAAAAGTCACGTTTCAGGTTTTGGACTCCTATTTTCCTATTCATGTGCAATCTACAAACTAGAAACTATTTGCAGGAATTACTTCGTGGCTAATTCTTAGTAATTGTTCCTCAAAATATAACTTCTTCACAGATAATTCTAAGACATGGTTTCAAGATGAAATTTTAAGAAGGATTTGAATGATTTGCTCATGTCTTTCGTGTGTGACATTCTGAATGAACCTTAGGAAGACAAGGTTCTGTGAGAAATATCCTTCCTTCCTTTTATTCATCCTCCCTTTTGTCTACCAAGAAAGTACTTCCGTGAGATGTTCACTTCCATGATGGACTGTACCTGTGGTGACTCTGGGCTTGATTTACATGAAATTTGATTCTTCTGCTTTTAGGGTAGCAGGCTCTGAGAAGGAATTGTTTCCTAGGGAGAATAAGCATTCCAATCACTTTATTTTAATTCAGCATAAGAGATAAACTGAGGACTTGAGTTTATTTCACAGTAAAAACATGGTACAACAACAGGCCTCTATTTGCATCTCTGAAGACCTCAGCCAAAGAGTTGGGGTTCTGTAAGGTAAAGCAAGAAGTCAATGGTAAAGTAATCCTCCCCCACATCTTTCACCACTAATATCACTGGTCAGGAATAGTGGTGCACGAGCAAGAGACTAATTCTCAGCTCTTGTGTACACATGAAGATTCAGACCCTGGTATTCTCAGCTCTGCCATTTTCATTAAGCCATCTTGTGAAAACTAAGCATATTTTGATGGGAGAATTTCAGAATCAGAAATAACATAAAGTGATGAACTGTTAGTTTTGCTTTTGCAAATGTTTGTCTAGACTTAAGAGAATTTGTATTTAAGTCTTAACCTCTCCTTTGATGTATATGCAGTGTCTATATATATATATATATAGTTCATAGTTTATATCAGACCCAAGAAAGCCTTATTATTCATTAGTGCTCTTTGGATGATAAACTGAGCAGAAAAGGTGAAGTTTTCTTGTAAAGACACATTATGGTGACTTAACAGAAGGAAGTCTATGAAAGATTAAGCATACAACAGATCAAACTCTTTTTTAATTCAAACCTTGATCCCAGGATTTAACGGCTTCTTCATTTATGCTTTTGCCTGTACAAGACACTGAGTGTCACTTTTCCACACTGAAATACGATTAATAGTAGAGAGACAAGTGTGTGGTTTAGCTTATTTTTTCCTGAGGGTTTTCTGTGAGTTTGGGGTTGTTTTGTTTTTGTTTTGGTTGGTTTGTTGCTTTGGGTTGGTTTTTTTTAACAAGTGACAGTAAAGGCATCCTTCCTTTCTTTTTGATGGTTAAAAAGGTCATCAGTTGAAAGAATGCCTTTCTGGGAGAAGGAAGAAGTAGTAAACACTCCAGAAATGACTGTGAAGCCTGCTTAAGAATTCAGGCCAAACATGTAGGTCAAATCTAGAAAGATATAGAAGGACAAGTTATGTGGTGTATAATTTTAACTCTCAGGTTTCTGGTATGTCTGGAAAATGCATGGAGGGAGTTAAGGTTCTAACTGGTTATGAGTGAGCGGGAGAGCTACATACCACAACTCAATCAGAAGCAGTAGCTGAAAAGCAAACTATTTCTCCTTTTCTCTCTTTAGTTTGAGCTTCCATTTGGATTTAATCCTCTCCTAAATACAAGTGTTTACAATCGCTCATTCAAGTAGGACCACTTTCTATCTTTTATAACCAGGTCTGGAAGAAGTGACATTTCTGGCATTGCCTACCTGTTATTTTGTAACAGCCAGTTCAAAAATATGTAAAAGATGGTAGAGCAAAAACCATGTCCTTCTGAAGGGACTTCCAGATACTGCATCGGTCCCACAGAAGAGTGGTCAGAGGAGCTGTGCAAGGGCAGCCCAGGGAGAAATCCTTGGTGGGGGGGGCCGTAAAAGAAAGCGTAGAATGAGAAGCAGTATACTCAAAAACAAGCAAGCAAAGAGAAAACCCCACTCTTATTTGCTACATATCATACTTCAGAGAATCAGATTGTAGTTAGGAGTTAAGCAAAATCTTTAGACACAGCCTCCACAAAGTTTGGTGCTGACATTAAAATACCAATTGTACAAATGATTGTGAAGACTGAAAAAGCCATCAAGCAGAGCCGATCCACTACAGAGGCTGCAAACTTCCATTCACTACAAATGGCTTCCTCTTCATCCTGGTCTCTGAATCGGTTTGCAATGTACCTGACCTCTTCCAAGATCTTAGCCAAATCTGGGTCACCTTCAGAGGGATGGCCACTGTGCAGCAGGTTTTCTTCATCTGTTGGTGAGCAGGTCATCCTCCCACAGATCACCCCTGAATCAGTGGTAGGTGTGCAGTGAACCCCTTCCAGCCCCCTGAACCCAATGTATAGCATATTCCCATTACTGGATTGCTGGGCACTCAGAGTGTTCATCTCCACACTTGATAGGCTGCCTCGGCGCTGATTATGTTGACAGGCAGGACGCACTTTGTCTTCCCCTGGTCTTTTCATCCTCAGAAACCAAGCACACCAATTGAGAAGGATGATTCTTGTCTGAAAGAAAATTGTTGAGAATAAGCATCTCTTCATATAGCCACTGTCCTTGTGCACTATTGGTATTTTTGCAGCCTGGGTGACTGGTTGGTCCACGGTCTCTGCTTAGTCTGTGCAGGAGTTCTAGAAAATAGCACCAGACTTTTCCAGCTGATTAATTTGCCCACCATGGAGGCTGCTTTCTTAATTCTAGTAGTGCTATTGATTGTCTCAGGCTAACTTTTCGCTAAAGATGGGAGTCTCTGTAGTGTTGAGTTCTCCTTACACTTAAGTAGGAACATGATGGCCTTTTCCACCTTTACTAGAAACCATGAACTAAAAGAAAACCCACTTACTGAAGAACAGTTACTTTATAATAGTCTTAATAGTACTGCTTTAGACTGTGGTCAATAAATTACAACTCTTTCACTTGTATTTATGCTCTAATATAAAATTCACATGACATTACTGTTTGGAGGGGGCTGTTAAAACAGATGCTAAAATGGACTGGGCCAAGCCACCAAGCTTTACAATGAGTCTCTTCTCACATTGTTTTCACGACAGGTGATTACAGATTCTAGAAAACAGATCTGTAGCTATCATAAAGATCGAAAAATTACTTTAAAAAAAAAAAGTATTCTGTAAATTTAATCAATGTGTATCATTTTACTGTTTTCAAATTGCCTTAATCCAGCCTTACAGAAAGTGCAGACAAGCCAGAGACTGTTCCAGTTCAGATGCAAGCTTCTGTTATTTATTTCAATCAGATTTTAAGAGCTCATTCCACTGTTTCTTTTCCAGAGCACTAATGAAATACTATTGTTTCATATAATGTGCAAATCCTTCACTGTAATTAATATTAAATTTGGTCCATTTATTCCGACTATGGATTGCCACTCAGACTTGATAATATATCCAGGCAAGCATCCCAACCAGAGACAGATCCTGTCCTCTTACTCTATTTACACTGTCTAGCTTCACCAAGAAGGATAATATTCGTTAGCTGAGAGCTTGATCCAAAATCCACTGGTATCCAAATAATGTTTAATGATCTTCAGCTTCTCAACACTAAAGCTCCCTCCTCAACCTCAAGTACTCTGCTCTCTCAGGATGTTTGGCTCAGTACTAAACATTTGTCCCTTTTAGGTCATCAAACATACATATGAAGATATACACCATCGATTCTCTTAATTGAAATTTATTTTAAAGTCACTACCCAGAACAGGTCAGGGAATATCTCATTATCTCTTGTCTGCAGGGCACTACTGTATGCAATAATACCTCATTGTTCTAGACAGAAAAAAAGAGAAAGGTCTTTCCATTTGCAGTGATGCCTAATGCTGCCATGAGCTGGGTGAAGTCAGGAAAAGTGGACAGTTAGCTAATGATGCGCATCAGTATTTAGTAATCTAGTATCAGCATAATGTTCTTTGTGAAAACAATCATTCATAGAAGTACATTATAAAAAGAATCATAATGCACAGAAAAAGACTTTACTGATGTTCTTGACCAGAGATATAAAGATGAGGATTTTCAGAGCAAGCTTCAGTTCTGCTTTAACAGCCATCTTTAACAAGTGCTTTTTAGGCTGATGATGTTTTTGGACATACAGCAGCTAAATACAAAGCAGCTGCGCAATTGCATCTTGAGGATGGTGTATTTCATGCATTTAAATTATCCATCAGTACCTTCCTCTTTCCTTCTACTTGTTTTACTTTTGATATTTGCAGCTTATTTGAAAAGCACCTTCATTTACATATTTAGTTTTTAGCAAAATCCTGAGTTGCTTCTAGCTGTTATGAGAGAGATTCTGAATGTATAAGCAAGTTGAGGTATATTCATTCTCTAACACACACGCACTGTAAGAAGCCAACCACGCAAAACATATCAGGACATCTCATTTCTGGTAAAACTACTTTTCAAAACAAAACATTTAGGAAGCATTTATATGTTTTTTAAAGTAAGAATCAAACATGGGACACAAGCTGCTATATTGCTTATTCGATCAGGACATTTGTGCAGTTGTTCTCCTGCGACCCCACTTGCAGTACTGTGTACAGTTCTGGTGTCCTCAACATAAGAAGGACATGGAACTGTTGGAGCAAGTCCAGAGGAGGGCCATGATGATGATAAGGGGACTGGAGCACCTCCTGTATGAAGACAGGCTGAGAAAGTTGGGGCTGTTCAGCCTGGAGTAGGCTGCGTGGAGACCTCATAGCAGCCTTCCATATCTGAAGGTGGCCTACAAGGATCTTGGAGAGGGACTCTTCATCAGGGACTGTAGCGATAGGACAAGGGGGAATGGGTTTAAACTTAAACAGGAATAGTTCAGGTTAGTTAATAAGGAAAAAGTTCTTTACTGTGAAGGTAGTGAGGCACTGGAACAGATTGCCCAAAGAAGTGGTAAATGCTCCATCCCTGTCAGTGTTCAAGGCCAGGTTGGACAGAGCCTACAGGAACCTGTGTGTGAGGTGTCCCTGCCCATGGCAGGGGGTCTGGAACTAGATGATCTTAAGGTCCTCTCCAACCCATCTCCAAACTATTCTATGATTCTATAATGAATGAAAATCAAACCTTACCCATTTTGGCATTTTCCCCCCATCTGGATCATGATGATGGTATTGTAGAACAACAACGGTGACAATAACAGAAAGACCAACAATAATCATAGTGCTGGCAAAATACTGAGCTGCAAAATAAACAGATAATTACAGCCATATACTTCAGCTGATATTGCTTTGTAGCAATAAGGGATGTTTATATACATGCATACATAGTGTTCTTTTTCTAGTGTAATGATACACGTGCTACTTCGGCTACTTATGAGAGATTTCTCAAAACTAGAAAGGACAGCCATTATTTTGAGAGGATAGCCAGCTTGCAGTACTGGCTCTGTGGAACTAAGCACCTGCCTTTTCTGAGCAACCTTGAAAAAAACTGTCCTCTAATTTTCTTTCACCAGCATTGTAGAGACTGGCTAGTACTTCTTTTGAGAAGTTTCTCGTTCTGTTTGAGCAATTACAGTGGGAAGATTTACCCATGGTTAGCTCTGTATTCCTAATGTCTGACCAATGGTGTCAAAACTGCAACAACTTCTAGAGAAAACCAATTCGCTTATGCTTTCCTACAAGACACATAGGTTCTCTGTTTTGTTCAGAGGAGAGAGCATGGACATTCTGTAGGGGATCACACCCACAATGGCATCTTATGAGCTGGCCACATTTCTCTAATTCAGTTGCAGTAGGCCATTATACAGGTAGTTATTTGCCTTATTGCTGGCCTTCATGCAAAGTCACTGCACCTCATTTGACAAAGATATGAAAGTGAATAAAAGCAGTAGTGAGCTTACCGATTAAGGGCACAGAATCAGATGTTGCTGGCATAATTTCAGCCACAAGTAACATGAAGACAGTGAGAGACAATAAAACTGTTATACCTGAAAGAGAAACATGACATAACATTAGATTGGTAGCCTGTAATCACAAAGCTGTAAGAAGCAGCAAATGAATCTAAAGGAGTGCCCTTTGCAAGATGCATTCCCACTGTTACCTTTGGACCATCATGTTAGTGGTACTCCTGTCCTTTCTTATACTACCTCAAGTTCAGGGTAGCAGTACTGTCAAACTAGTACTGGTGCTTGCAGAGATGTACATATTTTTAGATCCTTGTAACTGTTCAGCTTTTATCACAATTTGTTAATTAGCTGAGGTAAATCAAAGTAATTCTTGCTGCTTGCTTGTTTTAGAAACATGGTGTGATTTTGAGTACTTGAACATATGACACCTGATTAATTGGCGTAGAAGCTACAGGTGGTGGTGCAATACATCATCTTCCTGAAAGATTTGCTGTCTTGGACAGACTTTGATCTCTTTTGATATTAGCTGTTGGATTCTGCACTTGGCTATTCCCAAGCAGTCCTTTCTGTTGATTTTTGGAATTTGACTTCTGTTGCCCGGTGATGAGTTCCCCTCTTCTGGAATAAGACTTCACTCTTTTCTCAGGACTAGTTGTAATTAATAAGGAGCCATTCATTGTCAGTTGGAAAAGGATTTAGGAATAAATAATTAATCTTAAAATATGGGGAAGGACTTGATTAGGGAGCCTCTACTCAGTTAAACCACATTCTGGACAAAGGTCAATTTTGTTTCTACCTTTTAACAGTTACATCCGCTTAGGCAAAGCCAGTGCATTTCCAGGTTTGTATGAGGCAAAAAAGAGGCACGAACTTCCATCTTAAGGATCAAGTACTTAAAGTCATCATATGTGATTCACAAACCGATGGTTCAGTTTAAATTCACTATCACAGTTATAATAGTAGCAGTTAGAATCAGTCTTTCTGAGAAGGCAACTTAGGCTCTTAATACAACTCACTATTAAAAGGAAATATTAATAATTCTCTGCTAAAGTGGACAAATGCATATTTGTAAACTTGAGCTTTTCTCAGTGATTGTTGGGGTTTTCTTCAGTAAATAAATGTCAAAAAAAAAATGAAACCCTGCTTCTTAAGAAAGGTAGTCAGAAACTGCAGCAGGTAGTCATGTTTCCCCATTTCATAACTTCAGTGTACCCTAAGCTGAGAGTAAGGGTTAAGCATCACACAGCTTCACCAACAGTAAAAATGGCTCTGTAGCCAGAATACGGCACACAAGGTATTTTCCCTTGCCTACTAAGAGTATTTAAAAAACTTTCAAAAGGGCAACTTCTTTTGGTTTGGTCATATTTACAATATCCTGTTAAGGATTTACCTAGTGAGATCTTTTCTCCTGAGTCTGCTGGAAGCAGAAAAACTAACAAAGCAAGTGCTGATATCAGTACACAAGGAATAAGAAGATTGAGTCCATAATAGAGAGTCCTACGTCTCATAGTTACTGTGAATGTTACATCTGGGTATGGTTCTTTACAGCATTCATAAAAACTCTCAGTTCTTTTCCCAGGAACTCCTGTGTAGGAGGGAAGAGGAAGAAAAATATAAATTAATGTGAATAAACTGTATATTATGTAGCGATTGTTTTTAAAATGGATATACGTTTTTTCTAAATGCTAAATTTCACTATAGGTAATACTGCTTTAAGATTAATTCCCAATCAAATAGTTTGTGTCAGGTAATAAAAGAAAATTGGATAAAAGATACTGAATTCAAGTGACAGTTTCATCCTCTACTTTTTTAATGTTGATTTTCATCTTACACCTGTTCTCAGTGTCAAATGTTACTAGCTGAATAAGTTATTAATTTAATTTCTGTCTTCATTTCCCAATCTATTTAATTAATTTCAGCAGTGGAGATAAGGCTGCAGTTTCACAGGCTAAATAAGAAATCAAGAGCTTACCTACTAAATCCCACTCTCCATTTGAAATATAACCAGATATATCTGCTTCTTGCATTTGTAAGTCCAAGGACCAGCCTCCATAAGTCCAGGATCCAAACTTCAGGTTACACTTCTGAACATCAAAAGGAAACCAGCGCACATCTATGTAGCATGAGCTTTTAAATATGCCTAGATTGGATTTTAAACAAGAACACTTAATTTAAGAGCTTGTTCCACATAATTTCATGTAAATTTTGTAACCAGACCTTGTTCTACGTTTCACCCTGTGTTTTTCACTTGTAAAGCATACTTAATCTCAGTTATGCCTTGACATATGAATAGCAAAAGTTAGTCACAGAAAAGGAAAAGAACCATTAACATGTTGATGTTATAAACTATTTTTTTTTAACTACATTTTCATTTAGCACATGGTAGGACAATATTTAGAGAAAAGCTCAGATTTCTAGATACTGTATTTCAGGAAGAAATGAAGCAGAATATTCAATCTGTTTCTCCTATTTCTTTTAATGAATAAAATAAATCCTAAAAAATGTTTTGCTATCTTGTTAGGTATACATGATCTTGATTTATTGAGGAAAGCTAGCTTCTTTTTTTTTCACTTGTTGAGTCAGGCCCTGACATTTGGCAGCTTTCATAATTGAGTTGAAAAACCCCACCAAAAGGAAGATCTTAAATCGAAATAACAACAGGCAACTGCCTGAAATCCTCTGGGGATCTTAAATAGAAAAAACTACTTTGTCTGGAAAGCACGCAGCGTTATTGCTGTAGTTTCTAAAATTCAGATTCTAGGATAAGTTAATTCTAATTATGCCAGTTGAGTTTAGGAATAGAAACAGTACTCCACTGCTGATATCAAGTAAATATCAAACACACTCTTTTCAGACTAACAGTGTATTGATGAAGCACCCAGCAGATCACTTCAAATAGAAGACGCATCCAAGATGTTACTGAGCATCTTACTGTAAAGTTAACATGTTACTAAAAGAGCCAGCTAAATTAATGAAATGATTTTTTAGTAAGAAGCATTACCATGCCTTTAAGAAACAATGTCTTTTAATATTGAGGGCTTTTATTTTTTATCTTCTTTCATACTTCCACACTTCTGAAATAGTGCATTATGACAGAAGAATTCACAGATTTAAAATAAACATGTACTTTTTATGGTGTTTTTCATACAAAGGTATTAACCATTTAATTCATAATGCATCTAGGCTTAACTAGATCAGATGATGCTAGCTAGATAAATACCAGAGAATTAATGTGACATTTGAAACCACACCATACATACGAAGTTACCAAAATTTATGACATGGAAAGAGCCTACCTGGTGGCAGATATTGGCAATGTCCTGAAGAATTGACTAAAACATTAGTGTGAAACGTAGCATCAAATCTTTCATCAGCACTAGAACAGGGAAGAAATAAAATGGGTTATAAGTTCTTTGAGTGGCTGAAGACTATCTGAGACAAATCCATTCTTCATAGAAGGATTATTTCACCCCCATAACTTGACAGCTTTTCTCCTGACACCAGACTTTTGTGACCTCAGATACTGATAATATTAGATTTGCACCTGACAAACAACTGCAAGTGAAGGTAAGCCACCTCATTGCTGCTTACCTATCCCACTACATTCATTACAGTGCCTGGGTTCTTACTGATTTCCATTGGAAAGTAAGTGCTTTTTAAATACTTCCCAAGCACCTATATAGAGAAAACTCTGTTTTTGCTGTCTATATGAAAAGCAATTAATGACTACATGGATACTACAGTGTCTCATCCTACCCCTTTGCATGTGTGAACACTATTACTACGTGGCATGCCTAAGACAGTTTAATGCAGCTTCAGCCTTCATTGTCTGTTTCAGAACCCACAAACTGGGTTCAGCAATAAAAGAAACCACATTAGAGGTGTCATGTAATAGTGCTGGCCAGGACTGGCGCAGTGTGCCTTTTTGAAGTCTCTAGGAAAGAATCATGTTACTTGCAGAGTGCTTCAAATTATGAATTGGCAGCTCCTGCCAGGGAGCATCAGAGCTACAGCTGACAATACGACACAGGAATTTACTAGGCACTAAAATGTTAAGAACTTCTAGATGGGAAACACCCCATTTTTCAATGTTTAGATGATGAAATAAAGTTGAGTAAGTTTGCTGAATTAAATCACTCTATGAAACATGTTTTCTCAGCATTGCAGTGGATGTATACTCGGATAGTATGGTGCCCTCTTTCACAGTTCCGATTTACTACAGCAGGTCTTTATGGTAAGGTATTACAGATTCTGATCTGCACATCTTTGAAAGTTTGGGACCTAGATATTCAAGAAATTGTCAGAGTTATTGAAATTGGTGCCTACGTTAAATTGCACAGAACGTATTGGGAAGGTTCTAGCAGTGAATGATCATAGCATCTCAAAATTATTTCAGGGACAGCTGTGTTGAGTTCATGCCTGATCATGGACGTGGGCTCCCTTCTTGGGCTTTCATTTGTGCAGTGGAGAAGTGAAATAGAAAACAGGCTACTGTATTTTGTTGTACTGTTTGTAGTTTCCAAACAGTCACTTTGTGGGGACTGGTTGGCACACAGGGCAAATACCGTGCCAACTGCTCTTGGGCAGGGCAAAGGAGGTTGCGCGAGCCTCAATGTCTGTGCTTCTGTTGACCCAAAAACCTGTGTTGTCTCTAGGCTGATTTGAACATGACAAGATTCTGATAGCCTGTTTGCCTACTAGCGGTTCTGTATCTCATGATTTTCTGATCACCTAAAACATCACCAGAAAAACGCAGTAAGAATCTGAGAGGGGGAGAAAGTGAAATAATCCTATTTCTAGCAGAAAATCAAGTAGAATAATAACTGGCATGTTTTTTCCAGCAGGAAAACCCTTATTGAAATAGTCTTTTTTTTTTAAAGAGAACTTTAATATTTGAGCTATTCTGGTGCAAATTTTGTATCTTTCATATAAAGCAATCATTATTTTAGTCATTGTCACTTTGCATTTGATTTATTCCTTATGTATTTGAAGAAATTAACTTTAAAAAGTATCTGGGCATGTCTGTGATATATGCAGACAAGAAAAAAACTAAATGCAAATAAGTTACTTGCTCATCTGGAGTTGCACTTTTTACTGTGGTGAGCAGAAGTCCCACAGTGTTGAAAAGCTTACAACTATTTAATTTGAACTCTGAAGACAAGCAGAAAAGTCTAAATATCATGTATGTAGCACAAATGGATTCTAGCATATTGAGGGGAAAAGACAATTTGATTCAAGGCAGGCCACTCTCCTTTAGCTTCACAGCTCATGGCTGGGTTCTCTGAGTTCATGTTGCAGCTTCTCTTCCACTCTGAGCACTAATTGTTCTCCCTCCTCGTTTTGGTTGTCTGTTTTCATGACATTTGTAAGAAACTGTTACTGCGAAGATCTCTACCAATTGCACTGCTAAATTTGGCAGACATGGATTCAGAGGATATTGGGAAAAGGGGCAGCAAGAAAGACCATACAAATGCATGTATTCACACAGGTGTGCATGCGTGCATGTGCACAAGTGATCAAGAAACTAGGATTCATTTCCATGTGACTGTGCTTTTTCTAAGACATTCTTTAAAGAACATCAAGAGGTACACAGACTCAAATATGAAATTCTTCTTTCTGAAAAAGGAGCATATGTGTTTTTCTACACTGTGCTTCTAATTGGTTTTGAAGTGCAGTGCTTCAATTAGGAACGCACCAAGTAGCTAAGCCTTTGCTTGATGAAACTTTGGACTCGAATGTAATGATAGAAAACCATTTCTGCTACATCTCTTCTTCAGGGTATAACTGCTTGAAAACACATATTGCCTGCAGTACATTGAGATGACAAAGTAGAATTTTTGTTATTCTGTGAAGTACTGTGTCCAGTTCTGGGCCCCTCAGTTTAAGAAGGACAGGGACCTGCTGGAGAGAGTCCAGCGCAGGGCAACTAAGATGATTAAGGGAGTGGAGCATCTCCCTTATGAGGAAAGACTGAGGGAGCTGGGTCTCTATAGTTTGGAGAAGAGGAGATTAAGGGGTGACCTTATTAGTGTATATAAATATATAAAGGGGGAGTGTCACGAGGATGGAGCCAGGCTCTTCTCAGTGGCAAACAATGAAAGGACAAGGGGTAATGGGTACAAATTGGAGCACAAGAGGTTCCACTTAAACCTGAGAAGAAACTTCTTCTCAGTGAGGGTGACGGAACACTGGAACAGGCTGCCCAGGGAGGTTGTGGAATCTCCTTCTTTGGAGACATTCAAAACCCGCCTGGACACGTTCCTGTGTAACCTTATCTAGGTGTTCCTGCTCCGGCAGGGGGATTGGACTAGATGATCTTTTGAGGTCCCTTCCAATCTCTAACATACTGTGATACTGTGATACTAACCACTATGTGGCCTTAATATTTGGAAAATAATGCCTCCACAAATGTGCACTTATTTAATAAGTCTAGTAAAATTAACAAAATGGGAGAGAGTCCGTACATGACACTAACGCAGTCCTGGAATTTGTGCATAGACCAAGATTTTTTTTGCCTCAGAAAAACTACAGATGAACTGGCCCTGCTCTCTACATTATAGACTGGATGTAAAATTTAATAAAGCTGCCACAGGTTTCTGTGTACTCGGCTGCAGCATGATGTGTAAGGATTTAAAACATAGTGAAACATCCGTTCATTAAAATAAAATGTGAATTTATAGCTCATTAATACCTTTGTAACAGCAGATGCATGTCCCTAGTGAAGTGCATAGAAATTGAAAGTATCTATCTCAAAACACAATGTCACTATAAAAGAATGTCATAACAGTCACAATGCTATTTCATACAGGAATAAGAACTTGTTTTAAATAGCCTTGCTCCCTGACTAATTTCTGAATAAGATTCTGGATTAAATATATGTTTGAAATAGAAACACTGTAGAATAATCACTTCATAACCATGCCATAGTTAATAATCCCAAGAGTCAAAAACCTGTATTAAAAGAAAACTGGTGTTTTATGTTAAGCTATCCCTCTCATTCTGTAATGTGCTTCGGCTACAGTTAGCACATGTATTAATATTACTCATTTCATTTTGGTTATACTTAAATATTGAAGCATAAATCCTCAGATATACTGAAAGTCTCAGGTATGTGATATATGTGAGGAAGAATATTGTCATAATTCATTATTTTGGAATGCTGTTGTACAGTACCAATTTTATGGCATACACTGTATGTAATTCAGCAGGAGATAGGAAATGAATGCCTGAATTGTTGGATTCTCCCAATAATACTGCCATTTATGGAGTCAAGGTAGCTAGGAATAAATGCTCAAGGGAACAATTTTGCATGGAAAAATACATTAAGCAAGATTACTATTACAAAGATAGTTGTCCAGGTTGCATGCTGCTGCACTTCGTGTACAGAGCATTTAAAAGGGCTTCTAGGCTGGTGCATGGAGATTGAGTGCTAATCACCATGCTTAAACAGGAACAAGGATTAGTCTTTACAGACAGTTACCGTAAGTAGTAAGTATGGTGATCGCTAGTGAAGACTACCTCAAATTGTTTAGTATTAACTGTACCTTTGAGAGAAGCACTGCAGCATGCTGTAAGCAAAGCAGTAATGTAGGCCCTAGAGAGAAGTCCTCTGGGTGCTATTACCACATTATTACAATTCAACTGCACCTGTGACAGTGACATTGATCATGATACTGGCAAAAGGGAGTGTAACTGCAGCTGACATATTGGGTACAGCTATTCTCTAGGTCTTGCTGCAACAAAAAGCTCCTGAAGTGGGGAGGGGGAATCGGGTTGATAAACACAGCAGTGATGTCATTTGTAGACATATGGCAGAGAAACAGATGAAAAAAGCCAAAAGGTTCTTGTCATCTGCATGGGCAAAAAATAACAATTTACCCTCACTAATACAAAAATAGGCAGTGCAACATGTACAAAGCAGATGCAAGGTCTTTCTGATACCTGAGGAACAGCACACAGGCCCACAACTGCAGAAAAAGGCAAGCTGTTAAAAGAGTAGATAGGTGTCAGTGCTTTATCTTTTTAAACCAAACAAATTCCACAATGGGAACTACCATATAATGGTGCAGCAAAGAATTTCTCAGTGTCAACCAAACAGTCTGCGTTGGATTGATGGCAGTCTGTCTGAAATGAGCCCAACTCAGAACAGACAGTTTGAAGAGGAGAGCAGTAAATATCCCAGCTATTTTTGTAGCAGAAAGAAAGACTGACACAAAACTGGGCATGGAAAAATGTGAACATAACTTTTTGGCATTTACCCATGCTGCCTCTAGTGGAGCCCAGCCTAAAACCAGACAAGAGTCAAAAGTCAGATTTGAATTCACCAGTAAACATTTAGACCAAAGTATTTAAGAGGAAATTATCACTACATGTACCATTGAACACAGCCAGGAAAGTTTAGTTTTCTAATCATAGAATCCGTGTGTTAGGGTTGGAAAGGACCTTAAGACCTGCCGTGGGCAGGGACACCTCACAGTAGACCATGTTGCCTAAGGCTCTGTCCAGCCCAGTCTTGAGCACTGTCAGGGATGGAGCATTTAACCTCACGAAACCCAACCAGAACGGGTGGTAGGGAGGATGTCGTTGTTTACAGGTATATGCAGACACTTATTTGCGGTATTCCAAAACTTTCCAGGTTTTTTGAAAAGTGTTCCAAACCTAGGCATTTTGAAGAGATGGTTATGTCATTCGTGTTGCCTTATCTTTGCAACTGGACGGTGCTAGGCTCCTTTTCCCATGATAGTTTGGATCAGTTATCTTTTGAGGTCCCTGCCAGCCTGGGCTGTTCTGCGATTCTGTAATTATCTGATCTTCTGTCCGTCCCAATATGAAAAAAGTACGTGTACCTGTTATAGAGAAGAATATCTGGCTTCCAAATCAGTCCATCAGAAAAACGGACATTCTTCACTCCTGGGTATTCAGACACGTTCCATTGTAGATAATGATCTGTCCAGTACTAAGACATGCACAGAAAAAATAAGTTAGGTCACCTCATCCACTGGTTTACTGTAGTTCTCTAGGGACTGGATAGCCTGAAACAATAGGTGGTCTTTTGTTAAAGAGATACTAATAGCTTCAGGCAGTGAGATTTTTGGAAAGGGTGAATCAGACCATCGAGAGCTCAGTGGAAAGCACAAAAGCCTCATGTTCGATTCATACTGCAGTGCACATACAGACTATAAAAGATTTGGGTGCTTGTGTTTTGTTGTTCATTCTGCCTCCAGCGCATGGGATAGAACAGATTTTCTCTTATAACTCATACATTAATTATGTTTATCTTCATAGAAAACTTTATTTTTTGTGGTTGGAAATCCTCGGGTTGTAATAACCTGATTATAGACACGCGGTAGAGCAGCCAACAGTCACTGCTGACAGGGAAAACAGCTGCAATAGCAGAACAGTCAAAACTAACAGAAAAGGTCTTAGCTCTTGTGGTCTGAAGTTAGGCAACCTCTGAAGCAGATGCTCAGCAGCACTGCACTGTCTCACAAAGTTCCTTCTTGGCTGGCACCTACTGCACTGGAGGCATCTCCTCTTTCCATGCTCCTTTCAACCTTGAAACTTGTCCTTGACTACCAGTATAGGCAGGGAGTCTGTCATAGTCAAACCAACAGGTGTTTAGTCTGTGTTTGGCATTGCTGAATCTCAGATATGGTCATATGGTCCTGCACAGTCAGAAACAGAAGCACTGCCCCAAACTCGTATTATCCTGAGAAATACTAGCATTAACTACTGTGTTTTTCTCAAATTGAGGTTGCACTTCACCCCTTACTGAGCAGATAATTTGTCAGGATACAAGGATGGCTACTGTTGTGTGCAAAAGGTATAAATAAGAAAAAAAGTTCTTTTTTTTCCCACAAAATCTATTTTTCCTTATACGATACTTCATTATATTGTGCCTCTGTTTTAATATTATGTTATTTACATTAACTTCATATAGCTGTAGGTATCACATAACTTACAGTGTAAAATTCTCCAGATTTGCTATGCTGTTGCAATTCCAAATGTTAGTCTTTTAAAGGTAAACTTTGAAACGGGTGAGTAAATGTACAGTACTTAGCTCTTCAATGGTCCAGTGGCCCTTGTCAAAATCTTTGACAGATTTTAGGCTCAGAAAATAATCCTAATGGGTATTATGGAGGTAATATTATTGATCATTCTCTATAATTTCTTGCGTTATTGTCACAGGGAAGTTTCAGTATGACACACCAAAGTCTCCTGTTACCCTCACACTGCAGGTATTCAAATTCATTCTTGTACCTCTAAAAGTGTTCATAAATGACTGTTTTGATGCATGCAACCCATCTAGGAGCATTTAGCACAAATCTTTTGTCTAGCTTTTGCCACACAATTTCTTGGTCTGTGCTTCCATGTTTTTCTCATTCATTTTTTGCTATGAATTTGTAGCACTTTTTCACCTGGACAAATTATCTGAGCTGTGTGTTGTTTTTTCCCTTTGCAAATAACAGTTTTTTTACATAAATCTTAAACCAGAATATCTGTTTGGCTTTGTTCATAGATTTTTGTTTTCACTGCCTGCTCCATTCACAGTTCTCTAATTAAACCATGTGTATTGCCCATGCTTGTCTATATACAGTTTCTGTAAGCTGATTAACAACTTCTCAAATTCTTCTTTTTTGAATTTTACATCCATTTGTAGTGAATTGTGTCACATGAGCTTCCTGGTACATGAATATCACTGTATGTTTTACCACTTCATCCTTTGTGCAATGTAGAAGTACTGAGATCCTCATGAGAACTCTTTTTTTACGAAGTCCAGCAATGCAAACAAATACAATATGTAGTTTTGAGGCTGTGGGCTTTTGTTGGCTTTAGGCAGCTCCTTTTCATTTCCAGGAGCTAACAGTACCAGTTGCTGTGAGCAGCCGTGGCAGGGCCAGGGCTGGCAGGCTGCAGGCAGCTGCCACAAAGCTGCAGCTTGGCTTCCTCCCTTCATTTCCATCTGAACTGCCTTGCAATAATTTATAGTGATGTAGCCAATAATTTCTTGTTCTAACTTCTTTTAGGAGTTACCATGGCCAATAGGTAGTAGCATAGGGTGACACTGATTTAAGAACAGTCCAAAGGGTGATAGAAAATTTAGTATTGAAGTCTATATTACAGACAGTGTTAAGCAGATTGTACAGTTGCTTGGTTTAGCTGTGTGAACAGAGTGCTTACCCGTCCAGCTGGACATGAGCTGCCTCATTTTGTTTTGACTATAGAGCTATGATCTCCACTGTAGCTGAAGTACATCTGATGTGGATTAAACTAGCAAACAACTCAAGACAGTTGGGTTAGTATTAATCTGTGTGACAGGGCAAGGCTTCTGCTGTAACTTAGATCAAGTTTAAGATCTTGATACTGAACAGTATTGCCATGGAGATAGTACTCAGGATCAAAGAGTCTGCATGTATAAATACTAGACTTACATTCATCTTTCTCCTAGAATATTTTTTGTACTTAAGTATTTCAGTGGCAATTAAGTAAATTATATTTAGGATGCATCACTGATTATAGACACATACAGATCAAGAAAGACAGTAAAGTGGGAAATTCAGGGGAAAAAAAAAATCAGACCATTTAGCATAAGAAAATGACATATGTTTGCCTTAAGCATGCTTTGATGTGTCTAATATCCCATTATTAGAAAGTTATATGCAAACACATTGCTTTTTTTTTTTAAATGTGTACACAGGCCATGAAGAGTAGCCCTATTCTGTATAGTCATCAAGTGATCTGTTCACTGCAGTCTTAACATGCTCCACATACAGAATGTGTTACAGTGAATAAATCAAAAGAAATACAGAATATATAAAAGAATCAGGAATTTCCTTAGAGGAAAAAGGAAAACAATCTCCAAAAGGATAAGGATGCTGTGGGATAAAAAGGAAGGAAAGTAACTGATAGCTCCTTGAGTATGAATTGTTTTATGTTTTCCTGGTGAGAAGTCATAGCAACTGTTGTCATTGTAGCTCAAAGCCAAAACCATATTATATTTGACAATTTTAATCTTGCTGTACAAGCCTGTAAAATAACACGGGGTGAATGCTTCTTCCATGTTAGCTTTTCTTTGTGAATAAATAGAATAGCCATGCTATCCCTTCTAGATCATCAAAATACTCTTTCATTTGTTTCCTACCACAGTGCAAGAGAGGTGCTCTATAAAAGAATACTTTTAAACTGAACGAGCTGGGTAAAGAACCTGAAAGGTGTAAAGTTTCTGTGGTAGCAACATGGTTATTTTGAATAATAAAACTCTTCTGTAAACCTTTACTTAATCCAAACAGTTGAGTTTCTGTGTTAGAGATGGGAATTCAACCAATGGCGAATGCTCATCCTAGCTGCTGTAGTAAGGAGAAAGCTGCCTGTACCACTCCATCTTTGTAAAGCACAGACTTACAGTAGAAGTATTTTGTGGAAGCATTAGAAGCCCACAGTAGTCAGCATGGTGAAAAGCATCTTGTTAATTCGAAGTCTTAATTTAAACTAATGCAAAAAGATAAGCAATCAACTCAATAAACCTGTGTAGCCTCCTTTGCTCAGGAGGAGCTCGCTCACTAGTTAACCTTCCAGAGAAAAGAAATTCAAAATACTCTCACAAAGTTCTTGAATGTTCTGCCCCATTTATTACAAACATGAGTAAAACTTCTTCTGTCCAGCAATGCCAGCCATGAGTTAATGGGGACAAAGTTCTCTGCTGTGGTATCTAGTGGTGGCAATAGTTACTGTTAATAAGAGAGAATGCGAAATTCTGTGGCAACTATAGCAACTAAGTATTGCAAGAAAAGGTAAAATAAAGCTACTGTTTGAAGAATGAACACCCTATGTGGGCAAAACAAACTGGGAACCCAGGAAAAAGTACAACTTTTTCCCAGCGGCACATTAGAAAACCAATGTTCGTGTACCCATTTTTGTCATGAAACTGAGATAACAGAATTTGGAGAAGAAACATTAAAAAAACCCTTCATGTTCACAGTTAACTTCTGATGACAACCTATGTTTAAAAGACATTTTGAACAGCATGGGAACAGCATGGCCGTTTACATTAAAATCCTTTTGCAGTATCGAGGCAGACAGAAAAGCAAGTAGGATGGCAGAGATTGTTGAAATGAGTGATCAGGCACTTGCACCTACAGTTACTGTATGTGGGACTTTTGGGACACCATTATCTTATGCTAATCAAGAGTTTAGCATGCCTAAATCAACTAAAATGACTTAGTAACTTACTTAGTGTTGTGACTCAAATTCTTCAAGATTTTAGAAATACCTGAAACATCAAGACCTAAATCTCAGCCTTACAGTTTTCCATTCAGCTTAGCTTTGTACACTATGTAGCAAGATACAGAACAAAAGCTTTAAAGTTTCCTAAAATTCATTAAACTGAATGACCAAAGGGGGAAAATGACTACTTTATTTCAAAACTTACCATTTGTAGCCAGACGTTTGTTGTTAATACTTGATTCTTTTCATCCTGGGAGGAAGGAGAAGAAAAAAACCAACCACAGCTTAGTACCATAGGGATAAAACAACACCTGTAAATATATTTGACTGTTACGAAGTAGCCAGTTGTGTTAAGGTACTATTCAAAGCAAAGGGAATCCTTGCTTCTAACTTGCTGCAATAGAAGTCTTCATATGAATTTAATTTATCTTGTATTACCACAGTCAGTCAGACTCTTTCCTGAGAGTATGCTTCTGCCAGACTTTTCCCTGGGGCTCCTTTAATAAGGAGTCTTAAAAGACAAGGCAGATTACAGTAGGGCTTGCCTGTTCCACTTCTGTTAAGAGCAGCCCTCTCACTAATAAACCTTACACACCAGACATAAGCAGGTAGGAGGAAAAATATTGAACAAAGAAAGTGTGACTACGCACAGATGATGTGCATTGAGGTCATATTGAGTAGCTTCTTAACAGGCAAGTAGCACCACTTACATCAGTGGAACAGTACAAAAGGGGTTTTATCAGCTTTACCAGAAAACTGTTGTCAGGGCAGAACATTATTATTCTGCCTGCAACAACTCCTGTTTGAAGGCATTCCCCCTTGCCTCCTGTGACAATTTGATCTCATCTTAATGCTGCAGTTTAATTAAAGAGTATAATTCTGGACTTTTCAGACACAGGAAAACATTGGTGACCTTATTCTGTGGAGATACTTTATCAGTATCCACCTAGGTTGTGTGAAGCTAATGGAATGTACTATATATACTGTCGGCACTATGCATTCTCCAAACTTAAAGCAAAATCCCTCTCCTAAACACCAGTCTAAGCTTCATTAACAGTCTAAGGAAGTGTCATTGCAAGTTTCAGTCACCTGTGCAGCAGCAGCTATCAGAGGTGCTAATATGTCTAGACCTCATTAGCTGAATGGCACGTACTCCTGCATGGTTAGATTCTGAGTTAAACTCACATTCTACTCTCATTGTGATCTCTTTCGACTCATGAATGGCCCCAGTGTTAGATTAGTGATGTTTCAGAAATTCCCTTTTCAGTAGCAGGAAGATTGTACTAAAAAGCGGAGTGCTGATGCTTGAGCTAATGATATACCATGGAGATGTATTTTGAATCCCTGAGCCCACATCATAGTCAGATGAACTATTTTAGGAGTATCAGAAAGGAACTCTACTTTCAGTCAACACACATCACAGAACCAGGCTAGAGAGCCATCACTGAGAGTTGAACTAGCAGAGCTGAGGGGAGCAGCAGACTTTTAATCCAGCTGTGCTGCTGGCAGAATGATTCAGTGCCTGCCACTGCAGGCAGCTGGGCACATGGCAGAGCCGTCGCAGGTTTGCCTGCAGGAGGCTGCAGACCTATTCTGAAAGCTGAGTTATTCCTCAGTGTGATCTTTCACTCAAAACTAGCACACAGAGGGTAGCCTGAGAGCACTGACTCAAAAGCAGCTTGCACACTGAAGACAAGAACAAAAAGAAGATGGCCCATGCTGTTTTCCTGGTGTTTCTTTCTGTTACCTTAAGCATTTAGAGTCTGAAAGAGTGATTTTGAACAAAATAACTCCCACTTGGAGCACTATATTTAAAGTTCCACTGGTGTTTGAATCATAAATCCCATCATTGCTCCTCAGCTCTAAGGACTCTGCTGCATGCAGAAACTTGGTTTATAGTGGTGTGGTTTTTGTAGTGGTGTTTGTTGGAACAAATGGCTTCCAGCATTTTAGTCATTATTGGATTCTCACCCATCACTAGAGGAAAGATTCTGATTTTAGAGGAATTGTGCTTCTCTGTGGTCCCAAGTAAAGCTGGTGAAAGGTGGGAAAGGAGACAGACATCCTGCAGGGTTTCCTTCCGGATAGGAGAGTTTTTTGAATGCTGTTTTGAAAGCTTTACAGCAAACTGTATTAACACTATTTTTTTATCAGGGTTGCACAGGACTTCCTCATTTTCTGTCACTGTGCAATATTTTGTAAACACCTACAGAAAAAGTGTTACCCACAAAGAGCAAGGCAGTTCCTACTACAAATGCTTTCCTTTATAAAGGAGCAAAGAAAAAGGACTTAACAATATATTCTGAGATGCTGGGAAAATTAGCCAGAAAGCATGACCAGAAATTATACCATGTTGTTAGGATTGGTGTGGGTTTTTTCCCATACCAGCTACTTTAGGTTACTTGCTGTTCAGGTAGTACTGGCCAAGTAGTGCAGGCAGTGAAGAGTTAGGTTTCAGTCATGCAGTGGGAGGTGAGTGGGAAGCTACTTAATTCATAACTGTAGTTATGACCTCTGAGGGCAGATAACAAATTGCCACTGGGCAACTTATCACATTATTCGATGCCAGTGTGATTGATGAAGGAAAAGTAGTTGACATCAGGAAGACTAGAATGGTCCTTCGTCAATTTTTGAAGGTAGAGGTAACAATTTCTGGAAGTTCTTGAAGGGAATTGTACTGTCTCCATTATTCCAGTTCCCATCTGTCTTTACTGTATAAACAGTCTGTCAGACTGGAAACAGTCTATGAGTTTCCAGATCATCTCTGGAAACACAGTGTCAGATTTTCCCATTATCCTTCCCTCACCCTGTGTTCAAGAGAACATATAAAAGAAGAGATGGAAATGTGACTTTCAAAAGGATGTTAGCACATTTATTATCCACACTAGAAAGGCTATGCAGAAAAAAAGCAAGAAAAGTAAAATCAGCCTGCATGCCTATATACTGGGATGCACTGATGTGCATCAGCTACCAAGAAACACACACTTCCTGGAAGACTTGCATGAAGTAATGTCCTAACTAAAATCTGTTAGCTGTAATTCATGAACTTCAAATCTGGATTCTTATGTGGTTGCATCTCACCTAAATTACAGAAAAAGTAATCCCTCTTTGAACTGGGCTTCAGTTAGTATGAACCTTAATAGAAGAGTTTGTAAAAGCATTTTAAGACATGGCTTGTCACAGCAATAATGCTAGGTTCCTGATTGGTACCTTGTATCAAGACTGAATTAATAATTGTAGTTATTATTAAGTTAATAATTGTAGTCTGGAGTTAATGCGCTGACAGCCAGTGAGAGACACATAAGGCAGTCCCTGTACCAGTTTTCACTTCTGTTTGCTTGGATGTCATTCTACTGAAACCAGCAGGTTAATCAGTTCATTTGCTCTTACTTCATTGTCTCGACACTTGCTCATTAAACATTCTCAACATCTTCTGATCCACAGTGCCAAATTACCAGTACCTAATGGCTTTTATCCCCCCACATCCTTTAAAACCCTGTTATGATAAATTTTTGCTTCACTCAGCTTTGCGTTTTCTTCCTGTTCCTTTTTTATGGTCGTGCACTGAGCTCACTAAACAGTATGAAGTGAAAAAGCCTGAATTCTTTTATGGTTAGTACTGAGATAACAGGCTGGAGGATAAGCTAAGCGCTCTTAAAATGGCCAGTTGACAGAAGATTGATGCTGTGGCCATGCTTTAGGCAGCCATAGTGACAATATGAATCTGAGCTCCTCGAAACTTCTGCAGAGTAGTGAAGGGGCTGGACTTCTTAATTCCTGCCCATGGTGAGGCCAACCTCGAGGAGAGGCCAGAGCAGCAAGTAGTTCAACTTCACCCACCAGAAGCCCAACTGAAAACACCACGGTGACCTTACATTCTTTGTAACACTAAGTCAACATGGGGGACTATTGCAATTATGCTCTCCTCATGTGCCAAGGTTAATGCTAAACTTTTGTATTAAAGGCAGCTCAAGGCTCCTTGGTGGTTCAGTCAAAAAACAATTTTTGCTGTCTTAGGGGTGAGGATAAAAGTCAGATTACTTAAGAAAGTCAGCCTGATGCTTCTGGCATGAAATGAAACTGCAGCTGCTAGCTGAAGACTGCCTCTAGTCATCCATAGGTGGGGGCTGTAGCTGCAGTGAATCTTGCTGTTGAAGAACATAGTAGAGGGTACAGAGTCATGCTGCCCTGTAATGAGTGCATATTCATTACCCCTGAAGCCTAAGGCATCACCTACATCTCACCTTCCAAAAGGCAGGAGTAATTAAAATGCAAATTTGGATGGAATTAAGAACTGTGGGGTGGTTGTTGTTTGGTTTTTTCTTTTTTTTGCATAGGAATAAAAAGCTACATGGGGAGTTGGCAATGTGAAACAGGTTTTTTAAGCAACATAAAGATGGAAAAAAAAAGCAATGTACAGGATTTGTGAGAAGAAAGAGTTGAACTCCTGATGCCTCTTCCCCCCATGACTTGCCTTTCAGCACAAAAGGAATGGGTTATTTCAATTACCCTTCACTTCTCCAGAAGTCAGCAGTATACCTTTTCATCACAGTAAAATGTTTTGACTCAGCATACAGCACATATTTCCAATTATGCAGAAATTGTATAAACAGACATTACCGATGCACAAATAATAATACTCCATGATCTAGCATGTGAGACTCAGCACCAGCAACAGGCCACAGAATGTTTCTGATTTCTTGAAAATAAATGCAAAAAGTGCAAAGTGATTCAATAAAAAGTCAAAAGTGGAAAATATAAATTTTCACTGTTTCAATGCATTTTTCTCAAGACCACTTCAAACAAACACACATTTATATTTGGTGTATAATGGAGCCATTTAGGTCATTACCCCTTAGTCTCTTCTACATTCCACTTCAAAGCCAAATTCAGCCCTGAGGCACTTTCACTGCTAGGATGATACTTGACTGGGTGACTTTCTCACCTGCCAACTTTGACTCTGGCTCTTTCAGACCTTTAGGGATAAGATACTGCAGTTGTCCTTGGGATTTAGTTAAGTATTGCCTGTAGCATCAAGGTGAGGTTTGCAGTTAAATCTCTGAAATCCAGCCTGCGTGAAAGTATCTTCCTTCCTTTGTGTGCTTCTTGATCTTTGACTTAATTTCTGATAGCTTTTTTTTTAATCAAAGAGTTAAAATCTTGCTGCAAACCAAAATGTGAGTAGTTAATCAAAGTGAAATTTGAAAAGAAAACTTTTCTTTTGAGCTGTTAGGTGTATTAGATTTGTGATGAATGCTATATGAATTGCTCTTCATACTTGCTGCATGCTGAAGGTCTTTGAAATAGAGAACTGCTATTTAGAATTGCTTCTGACTGGGAAAGCAGAGTTTTGTTGCTGGAGGTAACACAGACTGGCACAGATTGCTGCTACTAGCTGGTTTTATTTGTTAAGAAGGCTGACTTTGGACTGTAAATTCAGTGAGGAGTGAGGCAATAAATGGCTATTCTGGGACTTAGTGAAATACTTAGAGTTGTTTGGGAAACAGTTTCCCTGTAGGGAGACAGCCCTCCTCACTCTCCCTATGGCCCCACTTTCATTTGTGGTACAGTAAGGTTTATTGAAGCCCCCTAAATCTCTAGCCAGGAACAATGCAGCACAGACCTGGCGTATTCCCAACACAACCTGCTGTCCTAAGCACTTCCCATCATCTTGGAGGACAGAGTGGCAGTACCGATCCCAGATGCAGTGACAGCTCCTCTGTTACCTATATGAATTAAAAAATCAGCCTCTTCACATCATGTGAACAGTGCAGCAGGGCTAACAACAGCTTGCACTGGAATGTACAGCTGAAAAAGAGAACGCAGCTGAAGGGTATTTGTGAAAGAGTTGAATCATCCGTGCGAAGTGTTGAGGCTGAGGACTCTTGTAGATATTGGCTCTGTTATAGAAATAAATATATAAATATTTGTAGGAGAGTGCCACTGTTAATCCAGTGAAATTCCTTGCAGGAGACAGGTGGAATTAAGGTCTGACTCTGCACTCTTGCTCTGTTTATTCCTTGTTTTAGAACCATGACCTGCATTTAATGATTCCTCTGTCTGGCCATATTTACTAGAACTATTTCTGCAAATTAAAAGGTGTGCCACCCTATAAGTAATGCTGGATAAACCAAACATTCCAGTTCAAGCTACCTCTCTTTAGCAGATAGTGCTCTGTGACAGCCAAAACCTCATGTTACTATTACTTCAATTACGTGCAGCTTCTTACCTTCTTACCATGACCTATCTTCAGAAATATTTACTTAGAGTGTAATGTTTGAAGTTCAAGTATGGAAGATTTATTTCAAAGCAATATCTATTCATGTCATCTTCCCTTGAAATACATACATCCAGGCTGGTCTACGTATGCATGTGTAATGCCATTTTCTCTATTCCTTGGGCTGTAGCGTAAAACAGTGCCAGAGTACTTAGAGCTAGCCAGCTATGCTCTACTGGCTCTAACTTTAGGTTATTATGCTTATGGCATATGATCATAGAGCATTGTCTTGTCTTGAGAGTTTTTAAGCGTGTCCCATCAGGAAAATGTGGAATTGTTCAGACCACGTATTATCTTTTCGGGTTGGTTTGATTTTGTTTATTTATTTGTTTTGTTTTGGGGTTTGTTTGTTTTTATAATTGAATTATTATAAATGGTAATAATTGAGTAGAAAATCAATAAATAAAGTGACTTTGTAAATCTTCTAACATACAAGCACATTCTTTTCAGCAAATTAAGCACAAGGAAAATGGTGCCTTAGCTAGAAATAACAATGCAACAGTGCCAAATTAATACTTTACAGTATAAAGCATTACAGATTTCAGCACTGCTTTGCAGACAGTTACACAGCTCGATGTGTAGCAGTTTAGACTGCCACATCTGTTGACATTAGTTCCAGATGTTTGCATGTAGTAACAACGACAAGCAGAAGAGGCAGGCTGAGCAACAGAACAGAAACATCAGAGCGTTACGACAAATAGAAACAAGCATCTGCTGTTGGGTGCAGAGGGTCCCTGGGATAGGGTATGCAAAGGTGCAAGGTTTAGCCATGGTGAAGCCCATTATGGTGAACTTCTGGTTTCATGTAGTGGAAATGGCAATAGGATGGTCTGCAAGTCACTGGTGAGAGATAGCATCCAGCAACTGGACGGGAATGGGAGAGGAGGAAAGGAAACCTACTGGTGTGAGTGGTGGAAAGATGCCATTAGCACTAGACTAGCTACCATTCTGATTTGTGTTTAATACTTGAGTCAGCACATACTTAATACAAGCTTTGCTAGGAGTTTACCCACAGATACAATTCGGACTTAGTGACTCTAGAGCTTGACCTGTATGTAAAGCAGAAAAAAAATGGAATCTTCAAGTGTGTGCTCTGCATGGGTATTGAAACCTGGAGTTCACCTGTCCCATGCACTGTTCAAGTGCATGAGAAAGACAGAAGCAAAAGAGTGAGGAATTAAACCTGAGTATAACAGACAAGTATGCTTCTGCTTATAGCTAAAGTCTGTGAAAGTGTTAAAGGTATTGAGAGTTAAAATGCTAAATTGTTACTAAAGCATTACGTGCTGCTGGGATAGGAGCAGATGCTCACATTTGGTCTTTTGTGTATCTTTAATTTTTTCTTTCAAATAAAAATTAGGAAAGTGTCATTTGAATTTTATCTGGGTTAAGGTTCAGATTGGGGTGTGAGATGAGGAGTCTCATTGCTCTGCTTAATATAATTCAGGAGAAATTCTGAG